CAGTGCCTAACTGTGGATTTAATTACTTATGCTGTAAAATGATTGTCTATGATAGGAAGCCCTGTCACTTTGGTAACTTCCTGCTACTTAACTGATTAACGGACTCTGTTTCAGAAAGAGATGAATGGCTCAACAGGTGCACTTCAGTCATTTCTGTTGCATGGAATAATATTGTCTAGGACAGGCCTTGCAGTATCTAATGCTGTGTCTCTTTTCAGCTGTTTTATTTCCTTTTAGCAGATACTCTCACAAACCTTGATAGCTGAAGTCTTATTTTCTTAATCTATTTATTGAAGTGCTATTTAACATTAGATATTAACTTTGACCAGTTAATGCTGCTTCTCAATTAGGTGAAATGTCTACTTGGGAAGGTGCCAGATTGAACTGAATACATTTGAATTTGGTATGTGAACTAAATTGTTGTTTAAACTGTTCATGTCTATCATATGGTTGATGATGGGGCAGCCAGCTGATTTTGTGCATAAACTTTTGGTTATTTTCCCTAGTACTATTTAAACATTTGAAAATGGCTTCCTGTCATTTCAAAGATAATTTTCATGATCAGTTTACTGCAAGAGCCTCCTGTCAGTTTCTTAAACTCCCTAGAATTTAAATTGGCAGATACTTGTTAGGTATAAAATATTCTTAGAAGGCAATATTACTAATTTATTCTTGTAGATTTCCAATAGCCAGGAATTCTGGGGATGCATTCTATTTAGCCTCTAAATAATGCTACTAAATGATCATGTATCTGCTTTTAGGCATACACTACAGGTTTGACAACAAAATGCCAATTAAGACAAGGATTTCGTTTTCAAACCTCAAAGAATAATATATTCAAAGGTGAAGACTAATGTGTGGGTACTGATTTGGGGCTTGAGCCTAAAAATCTGGGTTATAGACTTACCTCCATATTTGGCTTCACTGGTTCACCTCATATGTCATCGCCCAGATTCAAAATGCAACATCTTCTCCAAAGCCCTAGGTTTAACAGTGTGTATGGTATAGTCTAAAAAGAGCTTGGTTGAGATAAGCTGAATTCTCTTGGGTTTCAGCTATTCACACTGGCCTGGCAGCTTGGAGGTGCATCTCCAGCTGAATTTTTATCTGTTTAGGATCCCTTAAATCCTTGCTAGGCTTTCATTGCCAGTGTATTTTTCTGGGAATTTGCATTGAGTGCCATTGATGTTTCTCTGCTCACAAGTTTAATGAAAAGTTACTTGGAGATGGGAGAAAATGTAATTACCAAAATTCTTGCTTGAATTCTTTGATACAATCAGACGATTTCCATCATGACTCATGTCCCTTTATTATTTCAAAGCTTTGAGGCATTGTATTTGAATTTTAGGATAGTGAGGCACCACTGTCATTTTCTACCAGTTCGTGCCTCACTCATTGTTCTAAATACCTTCTTTTCTTAAGTCCTAGAGTGACTGAACGGCAAGGCTCCACAGCAAGGGAAAAACTTGTTTCATTTTAGGTACTTGAAATATTCATCCATTCGAAATAGATTGAGTTTTAGTAGGCTTGACTTACGCTTTCATTGGTCAGTTTAGGAAATATGGCAAACAATGTAACTAACCACAAAGCATTGAGAAATTAACTGTATGATGACTTCATCACATGTATTATTTACATGAAAAGATAAAGCTGGATGCAAAATATATCATCCTTAAAACTTGCCCAGAATTATACAAAATGACAACAAAAACAAACCAACCAACCAAAAAACACAAAGATGATAACAAGCATTGCCAAGGATGTAAAGAAGTGGGAACCTTAATATATTGCAGGTGGGAATATACAATTTTTCAGCCTTTTTGTGGGAACTCCTAGTTTCCCACGAAGATAAAGAGAGAGAAATAACTTTTTATTTTAAAGATTTGTTTATTTGATGTGTGTGTTTTCCTTGCATGTATGTCTGTGCACCACATGTGTGCCTTATGTCCTGTAGAGGGAAGAAGAGGGCATTGGATCCCCTGGAAGTGGAGGGAAACTGGAGATACATGTAGTTGTGAGTTATCAGATAGGTGCTGGGAATCGAACCCTTGCCCTCTAGGAAGAGTACCAAGTTCTCTTAACTGCTGAGTCATCTCTCCAGCTCAACAGAATTACCTTAATGACCAGTAATTGTACTTATAGGTATGTACCCCAAGAGATGAAAAATTATGCCCATAATAAAACTTATGTAGATATTCACAGCAGCATAATTCATAGTATTCTCAAAGAGGAAAGCAGTCTAAATGCCCATCCATCCATGAATAAAAATAAAGCGTTATTAGATAATAGAAAGGTTAGTGCTGTTACACTGATGAAATCCCGAAACATGCTAAGTGAAAGAAGCCAAACACAAAAGGCAATATTTTGACTTTTTAAATATCATTTTTACAAGTCTAATTCTACATGTGCAAAATGGCCAGAATAGGCAAATCCATGAAGGCAAAAGGTAGATTATCATTACCAGGAAACTGGGAGTAGAGAAAACTTGGGTTCATTGCTGACAAATATAGAATTTCTTTATGAAGTTATAAAACACTCTAATACTGAGTAAGACTGATAGCTGTACATCTCTAAATATACTAAAACTCATCAAATTGTATACTTTAAAATGGTGAATTTAGTGGAATGTGACTACTAAAATAGAAACAAAAAGTAAATTTATTTTAGCACAACTATTTGAGATTATAAAAGTGTACTTAACTTACATTTTATGCCAGGAACTGGGAGAAAGAGAGGAATGGGAAATTAGTGTTTAACGGATATACTGTTTCAGTTGGGGAATACATGAATTTCTGGGGATAGATGATGGTAATGGTTGTGAATATACTTATTCTACCAAAATATAGATATTTAAAAATGATTAAAATGTTAAGTTTTATGTATATTTTACCACAATAAACCCATTCCCTAACTCCAAAAATTGTATTTACATGATTCTATTATATAAAGGGTTTTTTCTCTCATTCTGTTTTTTTTTAACAAGAAAACTGAAAAATGTGATTGACCTTTAATTATCCCAGGGATACATCTAGATAATGTGCTAGCATTTTGTTCCAGTATTTGTGTGTATAAGACATAGTTAAATATAAGTGTGTCTTCAACTTGCCTTTGGATGAGAGCTTGAGAGTATTTTTAAGACTTTTATTTGTCAGGAGGAAAATAAAGGGAGCCAAACCATAGGAAATTTATGTTGTTAAATTGTAAAATAGTGAAATGCTGCTTTCAGAGTATGAGTTCACAATTTCCTGATTTTCTTGGTGGGTCGTGGCCCCTTGAATAACTCGAACATTTGTATTTATAAATATATAACATCTCTACATCTTCCTAAGAGCATCTTCCTGTTCTTTCTTTTGTATAGTGGGATGGAAGTAGCACCAGAATGCACTGAAAATACAAATGCAGTGAGTTTCAGAATGTCAACATGTGAAGGCAAAGTAAAAGAAAATAAAAAGTGCATAGCAAGAGGCTGTTTCAAAATACAAAATGTGGAAGAAGAGTGGATTTGGCAGTGAGTCACTTAAAAGGGAATTAAATTATTTCCAAAGGCCATGGGACTTTATTGTGTTTCTCAGTTTGTAATCTGTGAGAACGAAACAGTGAAAATATTTTCTAAGCCTGGGTTTTATATAGGCTGTTTGATTATTGATGCTATGTCAGTAGTTGCATTTATATGTTAGGTAATCAGAGGTGTGTTTTGCTTGACCAGGAAATGGTTTCTTTAAAAAGTACAAGGACTACAATAGTATCCCTCCATAGGGAATGGGCTCCTAAGGCCCTCCCGAAAATGATATGATGGACTTTGAACGTCCCTGGTAGAGGGCCTCACTATCCCTGTGGAGGAGTTGGGGGATGGGTTGGGGGGGTTGGTGGGGAACATGGGAGGATGAGAGGGCAAGGGAATGGGGATTGTTATGTAAATATGAGTGCCCCTAAAATAAAAAAATAATAAAAAACAAACAGAAAAAATACAAAAAACACAGCATTATAAAAAAAATGTATAAGTGTCCCTTATAGTTTGGATCTGAAATGTGCCCCATAGGCCCATGTTAAAAGATTAGTCACCAACACTTTCAGTAGGTGGTGGAATCGTTTGGGGGCAGGGTTTACAGGAGGATTCTAATCATTAAATGATCCCTGAAAGAGAGAAAAAAAGTACAAGGAACATAGGGTGTATGACAGGCAGAGAGAAAGGTGGTGGTAGGGAGGGGCACCATTGATTTATGTCTTCTTCTCTTGGAAGAAGACCATTTTATCCTTTTCGAGGGTCTCTGGAGTTTGGCACAGTGCTACTGATTAAAGGGCCTAATCAGAGTTGATGTATGCAGAAACTCAGAACTCCACTGATGGGATTAATGACCTCACGATCTCCTAATCAGACCTGTCATACAGATGAGCCTTTTTCCATGGGTTTTGAGTCCCGTCTTCAGTTGTCCTTTATTGGGCACATGAAATTCTTGTGTTTTTAATCTGTGATTTGAATGATTGTTTTCATTTTCTTTCATTTTATTTCCTTGATGAAAAAAATTCATCTTTTTGAGTTATTTAATGTTCTGTGCTAACTCTTGCAACTTGTATTAACTTTTTATGTTTTACAATGTGATTTTATATGTCAAAAAACAGTTATGTGTGATCAGATATACATTTTCTCTTCCAATCATTGATTCAGAAGCCTTCCAGCATACTTCCACTACTGTAGTTTTATTCTCCTCAAATGTAAAATAAAGCATGTTCTGCTTTTACAAATAGCACGGCGAGACATAAAAATTAGGAGAGTGAATTGAGCATTCACTCTTTACAGTTGAAGTAGTCACAGAATCTATGCAATGAAAAAGAGTGACTTCTAAAATCTCCGGGTTTCTAAAAATGCCTTGGATGATCACTTGCACCTTTGATACATTTCTGATTCTTAATTGTTTACCTATTTCAAATGTTTGTCAGAATTTGAACTTTGGAACCTTCATATGCAGTGATAGCTTTAATCTCTGCTCTGTCTTCAACAGTGCCCTTAAAGACAGCCGTTTTCCACCAATGACAAGGGATGAGCTGCCACGGCTTTTCTGCTCGGTTTCTCTGCTCACTAACTTTGAGGATGTCTGTGACTATTTGGACTGGGAGGTAAGATTATAAGATACTTTACTTGAAGGCACCTCCTGAGTAGATGTTACCAACTCAGCCCACGGTATAAGGCTCCTTATCCATTCTAACACTGAAATAAAGCTCCCCAGTGGACAATGAGCTATGAGTGAAGGATTTTTTTTTTAATGGCCAAATACCCTGTGGTGTTCCAATCTCCAAACTAAATGTGGTGTTTACTTTTATCCTCCTACCTCATCTAAGTACTCAATAAAGGCTGTTAAGAAGTAGTGAGAAAGACTGGCTGGAATCTGTTTCTCCCCATATTTCCATTCCAGTGCTGTAACTACTACTGAATGAATGACCAGGCAGTCAGAGCACACACGTCAGAAAGAAGCAGCAAGAGTTAGCAAAATGTACCACTTGGGGAAAAGCAGTAAGTGAGAGCGGTATTAGTAACCTAGAATTAAATAGTGTGAGTTCATCCTTGGCTACATTAATACGCACACTTGAAATTACACCGAAAATACTGTCCTATCTAGAGTATGTCTGTGTTTTGTCATTGCCAGAGGCACCTACATTAATTGTATTTTTCTTCTTTACTATGTGGGATTCAAAAGTTCTCATGGTGATTTTACTTTGGCAGTTGAGATAGTTGAGTGGAAGTTATGCCTGTGTCCCTGAATACCACTGTGTTCCAGGCAGCTTTCTACATGTACAGAAATGGCAAGATAGGGTCTCTATGATGATGCAGAGAGAAAATTACTTGCAGGATATGAAGAAAGTAGTGGTAGAAGAATGGAACAAGGGCAATTTGTTGATAAATACCATTCTCTCACACACCACTTATAAACGGAATTACTGTATCTTTACAAGAGCATTTACTTCGAAGCTGTTTTCAAAGAATCATTCCTATTGTTAATGAGACTGCCTTGTAACCAGATCATTGTCCTCATAGTTAACTGGACTTGAATTTTAATTTTGGTTTTTCTGGGATTCCTCGTGAGACTACAGATGGTTTTACACCACTGTGGTTCACTACACTGTACACAGAATGATATTCTGGAAATTCATCTCAGATATGAATTATTTTTGTGACGCCAGAGCTATTTTATAACTTTTGCATAGAAGATGATGAAAGTGTCCCTTCTTGGGTTTGTGGTAGTTTTTTTTGTGTGTCATTATCAGAATATCAAAGCATCTTAGACATATATAAATAAAGGAAGAGATGGAATAATCTAGTAACACTTGTACTAGAAAATTTGTCAACCCTTTCCCAGAGCTAAAATTTCCTTCTTTATATTTTGTAAAGTGTAACATTCCTATTTGATGGCCACTCCTTTCCTCCTTCCCTCCTTTTCTTCTTTTCTCTGTCAACCCTTTTGTTTGTTTGCCACCGTGTTGCCCAGGCTGCCCTTCAACTCATGGTCCTCTCTCTTACCCCTGCTTCCTGAGGAGCAGCAGGACTGCATGTGTGCTTCATAATACCAGGCCTGTTTGTATTCTTTAAGAGAAACTTACCAATGTTATGGAAATATCTCCCAGTGGATTTTACTTAATGGCTCCAATTCACGTTTCCACTGATGAACATTTTCTATAGTCTAGAAGGTTATTTTCACACTGTTTTCTTTTCTCTGGCCAGAGTTTTTAAGTTTTGCTTTGTAGATTGGATAATGTAATGTGTATAGTGCTGGCATGGGGAGTGAGAATGGGGGAAGGCCTCAGATCAAGAGGATGACCAATGTATGGAAGCCCTTTTACCCTTGCTTGCAGCCACTGAGTTGAAAATACAGTTTGAGCATATGTAAACACAGGGATATGTTTTATTCATGTGAACATATTGAGTAAATGTATATACGTTTCATAGGGAAGAGAAATTTGAGACCCCAGCAACTGATGAATTGGTATAGATGAGCAGAGTTAATAACTTCCCCTTTAGTTCACATCAAGAGCTCTCAACAGCAAAAACTCACCTTGCTATTTGGCTTTGATGTTCATAAGATGTATCTGTTTTCTGCTAGGTGGATGGGAAGTACAGCACTTGAAATGCTAGCACTATGTATCCTGTCAAGTGCTATTTGTCTTTTGTGGTCACTATCTGCCAGCTTGAATTTCTACAAGACTCTATATTCTTTTGACTTGGCGTTTGGGAGCATAAATATTTGTCTTATTATGTAACATTCTCTTGTTGAATTAAAACAACACCCAGGGTTTTGTACTTTTGGTATATCAGCATTCAAAAGTGAATTACACACAGCTACAATGGCTGTGCTAGGCGGGGAAGACTGTCTCTTCCTGTTATTTCATCACTGTTTCAAATAAGACTATTGAAACTTATAAGAAATACTTTCTCAGAGAGTAACAATTACATTTTTAACTATACAAATGTGAGTTAGCTTTAAGTGTACTATTGTGGTTAAAAATACAATGTTCTTTTGGGAAGGATAGTCTAAAGATTGCCTTTGCTAATGAAAACCATTGCTGCTTTAAACAGGGTGTCAAAATGGAAGTAAAAATGTTTTTAATTATAGGCTGATACAGTTCCATTTCTAGATATATGCCCAAAATAATTTAAGAAATATATTGAAGCAAAAACTTAAATAAGAATGCTCATAATAGTACTTTTCACAATAACCTCAAAGTGAAAACCTAACTGTTTATTATCAATAATATATCCTTATCAGCCATAATCCATGATATAGCATGGACAAATCTAAGAAACATCATGCTAAATGCAAGAAGCTGGACAGGAAAGGCCACACACTGTATGGTTCCATTTATATGAAATGTCCAGAATAGGCAAACCTATAGGAAGATTAATGGATTAATAGTTGTCAGAACTTGGGAAAAGGGTGAGTAGGAAGTGACTGCTTAGTGGTTATAGCATTTCCATTTGCCATAGTAAAGAAGCTCTGCAGTTAGTGATGGTTATATGAGAGGAGAAATATATTTATAGTCACTGAATTATATGGTTTTACAATCATTAAAAGATAGAACAAAAACGATTAAAATGGTAAATTTTATTTGTATTTTACCAAAATGAAAATAGTGAAGTAAGTTTTACAAATGTATACACATACACACACTTTAATAATTTTGACTTATTGAGGAAAACTCCCAAAAATGTAAAGTATAAAGAATCATAAGCCCCTTTTAATGTCACCATTTCATTTTTGAATATAGTCAGGGCCTTAGTAGCATCTATGAGTTCTCCAAGCACAGATTCAACCAGCTATAGACTGAAAATGTTTGGGAAACATTACATCTGTACCAAGTTTGTACATTTCTCTTGTCACTGGACTTGAGTATCCTAAACTATGCTTCTTTACATTCTTTATGTAGCAATACATTACATGCTTAGTTACATATGTGATTATTATGTAAAAGAAAATTATGAGGATGGCTTTATGGCTTATCCTTGCATGTTAGTTAATTATATAATTTTGATCTTTCATTTTGAGAAGTCAGACTATATTATGAAAGCTATAACCTTCTCTTGGAGAAATTTCACCATGTTGAGTAATCAGAACCCTTTCCCCAGTAAAGAATACCCTATTTTCTGTTTAATTTTAACATGAAATGCCAAGTCCTACTTGTGCTTATGCCATAGTGGAAAACAAAACTGTTAAAGGATTTTAAAAGAGAATTTTAAAATTAAAAAACAAGATAGTACATTTGATATAAGAAGAAATTGGAATAGGGCCACTGAGTGTATTCAGTGGAATCTCTTATTAAGGGATCTTTTAAAGGTATGAAAAGTGAGTAATTTGGGGAACATATTCATTAACTGATGTGTTGTCATATCCACCTACAAGGCTAAAATGATTGTTAAATGAGGAAAATTATTCCCCCAGGGAGAATTCTATTACAACCTCTCTTGTGTTTGAACATAAAAATTTGTCACCATCACTACTCTGTGACAGCATTATGCTAATTCTAAATGACAGGATGATTGACAGACATGGCACTTTAGAAAGAAAGAAAACTTCATGTAGCATGTCGGAACTTCCCAAAATGACACATAGCCTGAAACTAGTATAGTTGCAGTGTTTGGGAGTCGTGTTTCCTTTTAAGACAATATGAAAGATTGTAAGACAGATGACAATGGACAGAGTTTGATGGGTTGATTCTAGGTAAAGTCACCTAAGCCACGTCCTTTCAGTATACTATTAATGAATAGGCTGCATGTTTGTAGGACTTGTATGACATACATGCTATCAATGATCTTGTTGGGATCTAATGTAGCACATTGCTGACAGAAGTCAAAATATTTTCTAAATTATAATCAGGCATCTTTTAAATCTGAGCTTTAGAGGGAAGATCATTTAAAGGCATGAAGAACAAATGTATTCTAACGTATCCTAGAGTAGAAGCATAGATATTATCTAGATAGAATAATGCCACTTGCACAAACTTGAAGACTTTTTCTTCCTTCTCTGGCTTTGAAGACAGCTTTTTTGGGGGGTTCATTTTCAGTACATCACACTTACATGGAATCATCCCATGCTTAATGGGGCTGGCCAGCATGATTCTTGTGTGATTCAAAAATCTGTCCCTGGACTATTAAAGCTAGACCTCATGTCCCTATTCTCACTCTGTCCCTAATATAACAAAGCATCTGTCATTGTGTGTGAGCCTTGAGAACTCCTGCTACTCAGAGAGCTAGCTGTGCTTCCTTTTCAAAAGAACCTCTAATGCACACCTCTCGAGCAGTCACGGTTCCATTTCTGATGTGTCTGGTTGCAGTTAATAATAGGGCGCTTTTGTAACATCCTCCATGAGAATAAACAGATGAGATGAACAAATTGGCTACTGTCATTATCCCCCCTATATTTTAGAAGCTAATATTCTCATTTTCACTCTCCTTTCCCCATAAAGGTTTCCAATTTTTTAGATCCTCTTAATGTGCAACTGAAAACAGAGTCCCCATTCATACACAGATGGCCAGCATGACTCACAAAGTCACCAAGTAAAATGACTGCTAGTTGCATGTATACAGTCTGTTTTCCCTTTGATTATTTTCCACAACTATGGTGTACATT